TTTAATGACAAATGATTCCCTGATAAATTCACTATCTATTTTGGCCCTTTCATTCCCTTTACATTTCAGTCTTCCAAGAAACCAGTTGAACCACCTCAAACATGTAAAGTCTACAAATACTGATTAATGTTTCCTGTCATACATAGGGTGAGAGTACCTCAAACACTGTCAAAGAAAGAGTCCTTTCCTGCATAGGGGGAGGCATACCTCAAACACTGTCAAAGAAAGAGTCTATTCCTGCATAGGGGGAGGCATACCTCAAACACTGTCAAAGAAAGAGTCTATTCCTGCATGGGGGAGGCATACCTCAAACACTGTCAAAGAAAGAGTCTATTCCTGCATAGGAGGAGGCATACCTCAAACACTGTCAAAGAAAGAGTCTATTCCTGCATAGGGGGAGACCTACCTCAAACACTGTCAAAGAAAGAGTCTATTCCTGCATAGGGTGAGGCATACCTCAAACACTGTCAAAGAAAGAGTCCTTTCCTGCATAGGGGGAGGCCTACCTCAAGCACTGTCAAAGAAAGAGTCCTTTCCTGCATAGGGGGAGGCATACCTCAAACACTGTCAAAGAAAGAGTCCTTTCCTGCATAGGGGGAGGCATACCTCAAACACTGTCAAAGAAAGAGTCTATTCCTGCATAGGGGGAGGCATACCTCAAACACTGTCAAAGAAAGAGTCTATTCCTGCATAGGGGGAGGCATACCTCAAACACTGTCAAAGAAAGAGTCCATTCCTGCATATTAGGAGGCCTACCATATACCTTTCCAAAGAAAGAGCTCAATCTAAATGAAGGCTGCGTTGTTTCGCAAAACAATCACATGTCAGATGTCAACGTAATATTACAAATCTACTTCATTTCTTCTACATCTCAATTCTAAAATGTTGATTTTAACAAAAGAAACCTCACCACAGTGCGATTAAATCGCCACAACAATATAATGGTGCGAAACAAGACGATTAACTTTGTTTTTGAGATACAGAATGGTACAGGTCAATGGTAATTTTGGAACTGTTAACATTGGTTAACTCAGCAAATTGTTTAGCAAAGAAAGTCTATATTCCAAATGTTTCTTAAAAAGTGGTTGGTTCCCCTGACCTCCTCCTCCATGGCCTAGTGTATAAAGTGTCTGCCTTGAGAGTTGCAGGTCTGTTGTTTGATCCCTGGCTGCTACATACCAAAATATGTTAAAAGATGGTATTAGTTAGTAGAAACCAAGTCATCTCAGAGTCAGTATAATGTCTCAGTGCAGTACTCATGTTGAAGTGCAGCATAGTGTCTCAATGGCCTAAGACCAAAAAACAGCAGAAGTCCAGACTAAACAAGCAGCAACACACCCACACCCACACCCCCACCCACCCAATTGCTGTATTTGTACAATGATCTTGGATACGACATTAAAACCTATTTCATCTTACCTCACTTTTATTTAACTCTGCAGCAAGACGTCACTTTCGAATGCTCCAGGAAGCATCTCGTTCACGCCTATTGGAGTGCTCATATGACTTATTCCTGGTCAACCCTCTTACAAAGGAAGAGCACTTCTCGAAGATCAAATTTGTCATGAAGCACGTAGTTAACCCTACTGACTGAAGCAAGTGAAAGCTGGGTAGTCATTAAGTCTCTTCCTCCACACTAACAGACACACCCTAATATACAATCTAAACACAGCCCAACATCTGTATCCATGACAGCCACTGAGCCAGTGTTAGAAATTAAGTGGGTCCTTCAAGTTTTCACTGCCAGAATATGGTATTGCCTTGTAGGGAGTCCCTAAAACTGTGATTTTTATACAAGATTATAACAGATCCCTTGACTTCCAATTCCTAATTTCAAATAGTTACATGTAAGTGTTATTCAAGAATGTTCATTTTTGATAAATAAAGACCCTAACCATCTCATTGAATAGTGTTGAAGTATTGTTAAACAGTCGCCATGGTTGCAAATCTCATAATCATCAATAGCTTTCTTGCAACCTGGGATTGAGTTAAATCACATCTTAATGAGGGGACAACCCCAAACGTGAGTGAGAACAGTGAATGTAGATGTTTACCATCTTGGAATAACCGAGGAGCATGGCTATGGTGTTGAAAAAACTTGACCATAATCAGCTTGAATCTTGGCACCAAACCCATTCCTGGTTGCAGTGCTACCTTGAACATGTTGAACCTGATGACAGCATGAGACGGCTGCACAATACCAGACAACCCCAGAACCTTTGTCAAACTCCAAAATTATTATTTTACTACATATGCTAATGATATTGTTAGTTTGATTCATGAAGCAAGTTAGAAATTGGCACTAGTCCTATAGTCCTTGCCAAACTGCCCAATAGTTAACTTAAAGTATCATAACGACTAGTAGAAATTTGCCTTTTTTAAGGGTTTTGTTATAAACATCATTATAAGGACAAGTGGACTAAAACAGTCCATCACTTATTCTTTGTTTGTTGTTTAACGTCGCACTCAGCAATATTCCACCTATATGACGGCATACTGTAAATAATCGAATCTGGACCAGACAATCCAGTGATTATTGACATGAGTGAGTGAGTGAGTTGGGTTTAACGCCGCTTTTAACAGTATTCCAGTCATATCATGGCGTGTCAGCTTAATGTGGGACGAAAGCCCTAAGTGATGCAGGTCTCAGACTTTTACCACTTCGGTGAAACCCACGAGCACGGGTATGGTGCTGACAAACCTAGAAACATAATCAGGGTGAACTGGGATTTGAACCCACAGTCATAGGTTTCTTGTGTGCCCAAGGGATGCAACTCTGCACAGCGAATCGCGGTGCCTTAGACGACTGGGCCACCCGTGGCCCCTGATTGACATGAAGGCCACAGGTACTTTATGGTTTACAGCGTGTTTACTTACACATTAGCTTGAGCACACTGTGTACCATTTCAAAAGAACAGACGCAAATACCCTGTGTAAATATCATCTGTCTAATTTGGCCTGATACTTGCCTTCAAGTTGACTGTCAATCTGTTTAGTGGCAACTACTTACATGCAAACTCTGTATTGACTTTAGCATGTTTAGTCATTGTGGTGTTAAGAATTGCATACCCTAGTTCTATCAATAACAATAAGACAGTGAAACTGTAAATAAACGGTATTCAGCTACGCTGTGCAACACTAACACATTTGTGAAACCTTACAACAAGAACAGGCCATGAAACTTTGTTACTTACCACAGTTGTGTTTTTGTACAATTCTATAACCTCCAATATGTTTTCATTTTAATGAACAGATTTAATCCCTAGATAATCATGTCATTGGTTTGTGACTGAAACCAAACAGTCATTGATAAAAACAATTACGTGGAGCAATAGTAATGAAATATCCATGCACAAAAGAGCAAAATGCATTCTAGACACATTTCATGCCCTCTGCTTCAAGTAACCCGGAAACCATCATCATCAATGATTGATTATAAACTAATATGTCCTGGTACAACAATCTTCACAAGAAAGCAACATGCTACTTGGTTTACAAGTGAAGGCAGATCTACTATGATCCTGCTCGTCATTGATGGAGTCAATATATCGGAAACAGCTTACAGCAAGGAGAGTCATAAAACCTGTAATGGATCCTTCACATGCAAACTCCTGCAGGAGCACCAAGATTGATTGTGATCAAAATTAAGCGTAAATTTTGACAAAATTCAATGCAGATGTTGTGTCGGTTAACAGAATCAATAACAAGCCTGTCAGTCTGTCAGCTTATGACACAGGGATCTTGTCAATATGGATACATGGTTTCCTCAACTTAATGATCAATTATATATTTGGAATCATAAATGTTTCACGACTGTTTCTGTATATTGTGCCATACTTACTCTGATGTCCTTATGTTATAGAATATGGCTTTCCTGAAGAAAGCATGAAACACATCAATCACACATTATACCAGTGTTGAATAGGATTGATTGATTGATTCTTGTTTAACGCCTAACTCAGCAATATTCCAGCTATATGACGGCATTCTGTAAATAATCGAATATGGACCAGACAATCCAGTGATTGACATCATGAGCATTGATCCACATCCACAATTGGGATACGATGACATGCATCAAACCAAGTCAGTGAGCCTGACCACGCGATCCCGTTAGTTGCCTCTTAGGACAAGCATAGTCGCCTGTATTGGCAAGCTTGGGTTGCTGGAAACCTATTCTACCCCGGATCTTCACGGGTCTTGATAGGAAGGAGGTAAATTTGTAGATAGCTGACAGTTGACAGTATACTGGCTACGACAGGGAATGTCAGCGTGTCTGTCTAACGATAAAGGTACACAGAGGGCTAGAAGAGTTTCTGAATATTCAGGGTTGTTTTATCATTATTCTGGCTATTAAAAGTATTATTTCAGGATATTTTGCATCACTGAAGATGCCAAAAGTTTATGAAGTAAGATTAGGGCAATTGGAGGTTTAAATCAGATCATTCATACAACACTTTACTCATCAAATGCAGGTTTGATAGATGCATATGAACGCATACATGAATTCATACCTGGTTACATAAAGACAAAGCATCAACTTGACCCAGCTGTCCACTTATTACTGGTACAGTTATGTACACGCCCCCTAAACTGATGCGAGGTTGTTTGTGTTACAAGGACATTTAATCTGTCCTACTTTTAAAATTACAGAGGATTGAACATTTAAGTCAAAGTATATTACAACATGAAAAAATTAACAAATGCAATAGAGGTAGTTGTAGAATCTACATTCTTAATTATAACGCCAAACATTTCTGACACAGAAACAATCCAACTGGTACCCCACATAAACACATTGTGTAATCATAGAAATAATCTTGGTAATGTATTGAAATTTTCCCTCACAGACATGACAGAATATTTCATAACAATAACATAATAATTCATGTAAACATGCATCACACATGAATATTATGCCTGAAAACTCAACAAATCATCTAACTGATGCACAAACAACATTGTCAACAATTAAATCATCAGATCGCTTGGTAGGTTACCTTATGAGCTAAACCATAAATATATTCCTCATAAATCCTCCATGACAGGCAATATTCACTTCATAATCAGGTTTGGGGCAAAACTTCTGCTACCCACAGTTTCGTATTACACGAGATGGTTCACATACATCTACAATGACTACGTGTTTTCATTTTTTGTAGCAACACAATATAAATCTAACCAATGATCGCGGGGACACAATAAGGTGAGATTTGAACGCAGCACAGGGCGGTGTATGATTCATACATAAACAATGTGAAGTGGCCACGCATTTCTTATTTCGTAACATCGAGCAACTAACAATATACGTGTCCACTGTCATTTGCAAATAAATCAGTGCTTCTGTTAAAATGTTCTCGAATGTTGCAGTTCTGTCATCTGCCTTGCCCTAATCCTACAGTTTCAAGTTCAAAGCCAAGTTGTTTTGATCTGAAATATACTACAAATCGATCTACGTGGAACATACTGGAAAATTAGCAACAGACACATTGAGGGATTTCCCCTCCGTGTCTGACTCGCCTCTTGGGATTCTACAAGAAATAAATGAGCTGCCATTACCTTACTACACTCACTAATCCAAATCCTCTCCCGTTGGTAATTAGACATCCGCCATGTTTAACTTCCCGTCCACGTCCGCGCATGTGCAGTGAAGGCGGATTTAAGGTGCTCGGTGCGGGAAATACAAAGTTTCTGTGTCGGCTATTTTTTGACATTGCATGTCAGCCGTAAACTTTTCAGTTTTCGGCAATTAGAAGGTCATTGTGAGCGGATCCGCGCACAAATAACCATACATTTCAACAAACAAAAGGATAAATTCAAAGATTCTAGGAGGCGGATCAATGATTTGGAAAAAGGGGGGTGCACAATACCCACGGGCCATCAGTTTTCGCGCATGTAAGACTTGAATGACCAACACTTTCTTTCAAACTTTTCTTTCCCACTTACGCTGTAAGACATAGAGGACATACAGTCAAACAGAACAAGTTAATCTTCAACAAATGACAGATGTCATAACTTCGGATTGCTACTGCTCTGCTAGAAGGGAATAAAAATAATTATATACCACACCAATCTGTTTTCGTGATTACAGCATGTCATACACTTTTTTCTCAAATATAACATGAACTTTAACAAAAAAACAAGAGGACAAAATCATCGATATACCCCGCAATGGTAAGTACTTGTGAATATATGTATGATACTATTGCTAGGAAAACTCGAAAATCATATGTTAAAAAACCAAACTATCAAAAAGCCCCAGAGCATCACTAGACCTCTCTATGTTCCACGTTTAGTGAAGCAATATTGAAAGGTTTTCAACATCAACTCCGGGAAAAAGCACAACCCCTATTTCCAATCTTAATCCAACTTGTTACTTTGGAAACTCGAAAAATATAATTTTTAAAAAAAATCAAAGTTCACCACTAGACCTATCTATGTACCGAGTTTGGTGAAGAAAAATGAATGTTTATCAAGATCTGCTCCGGAAACGCATTTCGGTAAACCTACACTTACCTATATTACCAGCCCTTGATTTTCATTAACATTTAACCGACCAATCAAATGCCGAGATAAGGAAATAGAAAATGGATAAGGGAGGTAACTCGTATTGCCTAGAATCCAAAGCCACCACCAGTTTTTATGGACCTGTAAACCTCCTTTTAGTCAAGAGACTTTTGACGGCTTTGTTTTTCGTGTCAGTCATTTTGTCAACGTTGAATTTCTCGCAAACTCTATCGTAATCAATGGGACAGCTAGGCCGCCATGTTGTTGATATCGCCAACCCTACATTAAGGCTGGTTTGTAACTCGCATTTTGATTGGTACGTTGGACCTAGTAGCGTAGCCAATCAAATTGGCTAAATAAAATCATGGACAGGTAATTTAAGATCGCGAAAATGGGTCCAGGGGTTAGTGTAGGTGTTCCGAAACGCGAGCCCTGGAGAGATAGAGTATGGTCCGTCGAGTTGTAAGGTTTTGATAGACTAACGCTTAGTCTCTAATATTATATAATTTGGATAGAACCAAATAACTCCAATTTATTTGAATAGGAGCCCAGTGAGATGGGGCTGAACCTGAGGAAAATCTAGACTTGCTTCATTTAGGGACTGAGTGGAAGGGAAATCAATGGTTCATCGACTGTGAGACAGACTACTCGTATCGCATACAGTGAGTGAGTGAGTTGGGTTTAACGCCGCTTTTAACAGCATTCCAGTTATATCGCGGCTTGTCAGCTTTATGTGGGAGGAAAGCCTGAAGTGATGCAGGTCTCAGAAGATTACCACTTCGATGAAACCCACGAGCACGGGTATGGTGCTGACAAACCTAGAAACATAATCAGGGTGAACCGGGATTCCAACCCACAATCATAGGTTTCTGGCGTGCCCAAGGGACGCAACTCTGCACAGCGACCCAGACAACTGGGCACACAAATCTATGTATTTAGCGAACTTAATAAAGTTGTACACTGTTTTTGTTTGTTTTCCTTTAACCCCTTGGCATGAGGCATTTGGTTATAATAATGTAAATGCAGAAAACTCTACGGGCTCCACATGCCAAAATAAGTCGTAAAATAAACCGCTATCCGGGCGGGGAAGTATACAGTGGGGTGGGGCGGGCAGTTCCATGGTTGCATAAAACCGTATATCAGATGTAACAGTAAGGTGCATTAAACCGTATATCAGATGTAACAGTAAGGTGCATTAAACCGTGTATCAGATGTAACAGTAAGGTGCATTAAACCGTGTATCAGATGAAACAGTAAGGTGCATTAAACCGTGTCTCAGATGTAACAGTAAGTTGCATTAAACTGTATATCAGATGTAACAGTAAGTTGCATTAAACCGTGTATCAGATGTAACAGTAAGGTACATTAAACTGTATATCAGATGAAACAGTAAGGTGCATTAAACCGTATATCAGATGTAACAGTAAGGTGCATTAAACCGTGTATCAGATGAAACAGTAAGGTGCATTAAACCGTGTATCAGATGTAACAGTAAGGTGCATTAAACCGTGTATCAGATGAAACAGTAAGGTGCATTAAACCGTGTCTCAGATGTAACAGTAAGTTGCATTAAACTGTATATCAGATGAAACAGTAAGGTGCATTAAACCGTATATCAGATGTAACAGTAAGGTGCATTAAACCGTGTATCAGATGAAACAGTAAGGTGCATTAAACCGTGTCTCAGATGTAACAGTAAGTTGCATTAAACTGTATATCAGATGTAACAGTAAGTTGCATTAAACCGTGTATCAGATGTAACAGTAAGGTACATTAAACTGTATATCAGATGAAACAGTAAGGTGCATTAAACCGTGTATCAGATGTAACAGTAAGGTACATTAAACCGTATATCAGATGTAACAGTAAGGTGCATTAAACCGTGTATCAGATGAAACAGTAAGGTGCATTAAACTGTATATCAGATGTAACAGTAAGGTGCATTAAACCGTGTATCAGATGTAACAGTAAGGTGCATTAAACCGTGTATTTAGATGAAACAGTAAGTAACATTAAACTGTATATCAGATGTAACAGTAAGTTGCATCAAACTGTATATCAGATGAAACAGTAAGGTACATTAAACCGTGTATCAGATGTAATAGTAAGTTGCATTAAACCGTGTATCAGATGTAACAGTAAGTTGCATCAAACCGTGTATCAGATGTAACAGTAAGGTGCATTAAACTGTATATCAGATGAAACAGTAAGTTGCATTAAACCGTGTATCAGATGTAACAGTAAGGTGCATTAAACCGTGTATCAGATGTAACAGTAAGGTGCATTAAACCGTGTATCAGATATAACAGTAAGGTGCATTAAACCGTGTATCAGATCTAACAGTAAGGTGCATTAAACCGTGTATCAGATGTAACAGTAAGTTGCATCAAACCGTGTATCAGATGTAACAGTAAGGTGCATTAAACTGTATATCAGATGAAACAGTAAGGTGCATTAAACTGTATATCAGATGAAACAGTAAGGTGCATTTAAACCGTGTATCAGATGAAACAGTAAGGTGCATTAAACCGTGTATCAGATGTAACAGTAAGGTGCATTAAACCGTGTCTCAGATGTAACAGTTAGTTGCATTAAACCGTGTATCAGATGTAACAGTAAGGTGCATCAAACCGTGTATCAGATGTAACAGTAAGGTGCATTAAACTGTATATCAGATGAAACAGTAAGGTGCATTAAACTGTATATCAGATGAAACAGTAAGGTGCATTAAACCGTGTATCAGATGTAACAGTAAGGTGCATTAAACCGTGTATCAGATGAAACAGTAAGGTGCATTAAACTGTATATCAGATGTAACAGTAAGTTGCATTAAACCGTGTCTCAGATGTAACAGTAAGGTGCATTAAACCGTGTATCAGATGTAACAGTAAGGTGCATTAAACCGTGTATCAGATGTAACAGTAAGGTACATTAAACCGTGTATCAGATGTAACAGTAAGTTGCATTAAACCGTGTATCAGATGAAACAGTTAGGTGCATTAAACTGTATATCAGATGTAACAGTAAGTTGCATTAAACCGTGTATCAGATGAAACAGTAAGGTGCATTAAACCGTGTATCAGATGTAACAGTAAGGTGCATTAAACCGTGTATCAGATGAAACAGTAAGGTGCATTAAACTGTATATCAGATGTAACAGTAAGTTGCATTAAACCGTGTATCAGATGAAACAGTAAGGTGCATTAAACCGTGTATCAGATGTAACAGTAAGTTGCATTAAACCGTGTATCAGATGAAACAGTAAGGTGCATTAAACTGTATATCAGATGTAACAGTAAGTTGCATTAAACCGTATATCAGATATAACAGTAAGGTGCATTAAACCGTGTATCAGATGAAACAGTAAGTTGCATTTAACCGTGTATCAGATGTAACAGTAAGTTGCATTAAACCGTGTTTTAGATGAAACAGTAAGTTGCATTAAACTGTATATCAGATGTAACGGTAAGGTACATTAAACTGTATATCAGATGTAACAGTAAGTTGCATTTAACCATGTATCAGATGTAACAGTAAGTTGCATTAAACCGTGTATCAGATGAAACAGTAAGTTGCATTAAACTGTATATCAGATGTAACAGTAAGGTACATTAAACTGTATATCAGATGTAACAGTAAGTTGCATTTAACCGTGTATCAGATGTAACAGTAAGTTGCATTTAACCTTGTATCAGATGAAACAGTAAGGTGCATTAAACCGTGTATCAGATGAAACAGTAAGTTGCATTAAACCGTATATCTGCTGAAACAGTAAGGTGCATTAAACCGTGTATCAGATGAAACAGTAAGTTGCATTTAACC